CCATCGTTCCGGCGAAACTGAAGATTCATTCATTGCTGATTTAGTAGTGGGCTTATCTACTGGCCAAATTAAGACTGGTGCCCCGTGTCGTTCGGAGCGTTTAGCCAAGTACAATCAAATATTACGCATTGAAGAAGAGTTGGGTTCAGCTGCCAAATATGCTGGAAAAAATTTTAGAAGCCCTCTTTCATCTAAGTAACTAAATTCAGCTTTGTAGCCCACAAAGACTCATTGTCACCGATTTCGGTGATGTTGATGACATAGTTGATGACATCTGTTCTTTTTATTTGATTATTAGCATCAAACATTTCTTATAAAAGCTTGTGCCAGTGCATTAATTATATTTTATTTACTCTTAACTTTAGTTATCAGCTTGTCTTGGTTAAATTATAATTCCATCATAAAAAACTACAGTTATGATAAGAACATTTCTAAAGGAACACACAAAAGCTGCTTTTTTTTTTTTTGAAAATTTTATAAAATAATAAAAAAAATATATATACAAAAAATGAATATAATTTTAAATATATTTTGCATTTTTATTCACATATTTGTACCGTTTAAAGTGTGTTAAAAATATATTATTTATTTTGGATTGAATATAGTCCACCTTTTTCCACATTAAATATATTTACAAAACTACATATATGAAGATGTAGTATAAAAATTAAATTTTATTTTTAAAACAATATATGATACAAACTTCATTAAAAAAAAAAAAAAATGATTTCGTTTTTTTGCAAATACAACAAAATAAAAAGTCTTCCACGTATAAATATTATTATTTCAGTACAATATAAATAGTAAAAATATATATGTTTTTTAAAGTGCAAATTCATTTTATATGTTACAAAGTATTCCAAAAAATCAACTTTGGATTTTGAAAACATCAGATGTGTGTAAGAGAACCTAAGAAAGTAAAAATTATTCTTCCTTTAACTTGTGCGTGTGCTTCGGTTTTTTTTTTTTGGTTCGGTTATCTCAGTAATCATTACAAAAGTTAAGGGAAGAAAGACAAAACGAATACATACAAAGTTCCATTAAAATAACTTATGCTTCTTTTTAAGTTCCTGCTGCTTCCAAGCCGGCAAATCATCAAACTCCCAGAATGACATATGAAACAAAGAGACAAAGTCATCATGGGTAAGATGAACCTGCAAATAGACGAATAAGTTTATAAGTTATTGAATTGTGTGCTAATCATTTCTCACAGCGCACAGTTCCATGACTGCAGCTTCTCTGATATTATTTTTTCTCTTTGAAATAAAGAAACGCATGTGTAATTGGCTTTTTCCTAAAATATGATTTTAAAATTTTGGAATTTTTATTTTAGCAGCTATGAGTTGAATCTTCCCCTCGGAAAAAGTGATTGAATTATCCATAAAGGGAACGAGAAACACATATATGGGTTTTAAATTGAGTCATTTATTTTGAAAGCGCTGGAGCAAGTCCATTTTTAAGAAAAAAGGAAGATAACGATAATTATAGGTAAGCCTTTTATTTGTAAACAATTTATGGTTAAAACAAGTACAAGCATTTTAGTCCCAGAGTCACGGCCCACTATTAAATACCCTACACCACTTTGGTTAATGCAGTTATTTACGTAACGACTATTCAAAGTTAGTCGTTGCTTGGGAAGTCTAGATCGCGATTCTGAAGTGACAAACATTGCAATCCGAAAAATCAGTTCTTTGTATATCCTCAACGGACGGGTAGGACGGGTTATATAACATCTTCAACAAAAGTATAATCATTATTGCAATTGATTTGACATATAAGCTAAAGTCAAAGTAGATAGATAGATAGGCATAGGTTTCCGATCCCTTTCCTTATAAGTGGTCTTATAAAAAAAAGTCGGCATATGGCAATAAAGTATAATTTTTGATGGATTTGTTTTATGGCGAAGACAGAAAAAGAATTGCATTAAGGGAGGTGGAACAGGACACATGATACTTGACCTTACCCATACGTCTTAAATTTTCACTTTTCATACTTTTGTTCGTAAAAGTTTGCCAGCGTTTGTGTGGCATTAGTTTACTGACCGAATATCAGTAAATACTTCCAATCTTGTGGTGCGTCACATTAAAGCATTTTTTTTCATAGATAATCAAAAAAAATAGGTGCTATCAGTAATCAAAAAAATTTTTATCCACAATAAAACAATGTCGTGTAAAAGTTTTTACTATGATCTTCAAGTGAAAGCAAACATTACCATATCCTTGTTAGTTTTCTCACCTCTCGTTTTAGTGGATTTATTTCTGGAGGCAAAAATTCAATTTCTTGTTGTAATATAGTTATCGGATATTTTTGATGACGGTCGAAATCTTTTTGATTATTTAGCAAAGCAGGTGGTAACTTGGAATTAAAGCACATATTACTGCCATTACAACCATTTGTAAGAGGGGTTTCCATGTCGGCTGACACTGCCGCCATTATCTGACGTTTATTTATATAATTAACATAATTCTACGGCAGAAAGAGAAAAGAAAGGATTTCGAAACTATTTTACTCATGTGATGAAAGCCACTTACTTGCCAATGTTTATAATTCCAGCCATCAAAAAAGCCTTTAAATATGTTTGGTTCCTCATGTTGTCGTATAATGGCTACAGCCGAATTAGGCCTACGCGCCATCGGTACAGTTTCTAAGTAATGCTGGGCTAAACTTAGGTATTTCTCTTTTTCGGATGCGGTTGCGTATTTTCCTAACCATACGTACGTCAAGATACCTGCGTCCAATATGTAGACACTTTCGGGCGAAAGATCTGATTGTTCGTAGCCCATAATTTCCTGACTGAAAAATTTACCACGCTGTGTCCAAACTAAGAAGAGTTGGGCCTGCCAACGTGATTTATGCGTTGTTTGTAAGTACTGCATACTACCACTCGATGTCGCAATCCCGCTTAAACTACCATTAGTTATACCTTGCGGTGATAAGCCACTTGATGCACTGCCATTGCTCGCGGCGCTATTACAATTATTCAAACCATTAACGATAAGAGTTTGACTCATTAGATTGCCGACGGAAAGCCAAAATTCTCTGGGTTCTTTATTTTCCATTACTAAAGAGTTCTCCCCCAATACAGAGCCAACTTTCTTTGCCATTTCACGGGCATCACCGGTAGAACTTTGACCACACCATACCCATACATGTTCACTTTGCACTACGTAGCAATCTTTCGAATTTAGATTATTCAAGGGGAGAACTTCGATCGCTTTAGCATTATAGGTAGCATCACCGAAAATTTTTAAAATGAAATGATCGGTCTTTTGCATATTTTGGAGAACATTAATATTATTGTTGTTAGTGATACTGTTGTTAGCTTGAAGGAAGACTTTCTTTTCGTTATGCAGAATGATTAATTTCCCTTCGAACAATTGTAAGAAATGCGGTGTTTCATCGAATTCATTCATTTGCACAAACATATTCTTCTGAGTCACATTTTCGAAAAGGTTTTTGGCAAACTTTTCAGCTTTACTTGTCACATCAGCAGGCGCCTCAACTCCATTCCATTGGAAAATTACTTGTTTGACACCTACACTCTCCGAATCGCTAGTGTTCATAGAATTACACTGTTAAAGAAAATATAATTTCGGAACTTTATTTTGAATATAGCAACGCTTGCGTCACTCACCACTACAGAATACTGCACGACATATGAAGAAGTTGTAACGAATACCGTTGTCTTGTTTGCAGTTACTTCAATGACCTGGTCCTTGACAATGCGAAAGATTTTACGTTCGCCTGTACCGTCGTCAATAAGTTGAGTGTCGGCTGCCATTTTCGGTCGTTGACATAGAGTTAACGAGTCGAATTTACCCAATACTGTAGGCGAAGGTTTTAAAGAAAATTGTGAGTCGCCCGATTCTGAATTCCAAGAAGGAAAGAGCCGCATAAATTCCATCGGTTCATGGCCTTCGGTCACTCGAATCACAGGAGTGTTATAAGGATATTTTTTCTAAAATGTTTCAAAGCGAATGTAATTATTTTTAATAGTTTGAATACCTTTCGTACTTTGGCTTACCTTCTTCACGAATGCTCTACCGTTACCCAAAGCACTTGTTTTCTCTTGTTGCGGTGCTTGATTGCCCACCCACAACCATACACCTTGCGCAATACCATCTAAAACAAAAACTGTCGATGAATCGTTCAGATCGTCCTTAGTCGGTATGACTACATCCAACTGATCCAAATGCAAACGATTGTTACGATAACAACATTTGTAGATTTTCATTTTATTGCAAACTGTTTTCTCAATCATAGATGAACTCTGACATACCACCCTTTGATTTAATGGTAAAAACGAATTCCATTCTCTTTTCTGCTTTTCAGGCATCGATTGCTCATAACCATCGTCGACAATCGTTATGTCCTCCGAATTTGCACGGTGTGTATTGGCCAATTCAATAGCGTTGCGGCGTTCTATGTTACTGCTAGAGCGACCAATCCATACGTAAAAATGTTGAGCGGTATTCAAAAACATTATATGATCGGCTCCAAAATGTTCCCACGAAATTGACTTCATTTCAAAGCAACGTAAAAAATGTCGACCATATAACTGATATAAACGATTAACGTCCGGCGAATTCAACAGAAGGCCCGATTTTATGCTAAAGCAAAGTAAAATAAAATATAAGCGAATAAAACAATTTTGTGCATTTACTCATACAAACACATATATATGCATATAACGTCACAGCATAATATACATACAGTTGTGTATGTATGTGTGTGTGAAGTGTAAAGATATATACATTTTTGTTCATATGTTTGGAAATCCTTTCGTTATAGTTTTTATTACAACTTACGTTAAGCCCGCCTTGAAGTAGGACAGAAATCGTGGACTTTCGTTGGCTTGTGTTTCTCGATATTCCGTGGCTGTGTTACTAAAATAAGAGTCCAGCTCTTGAATTTTATGAGCCACATTTGAACGTTTCTGTTCGGAAACATGTTCGCCGAGCCAAAAATGTATGAAGCGTTCCACACTACTGCTGGATTTTACTTCGCGTGTCTATATCGAAATCAAGTAAAGAAAATACTTAGCTATAAGGGAAAGATTCTCTTCAAAAGTACTATCTTACTATGGTGTGTTGATTCACATAACCGCCTACTGGACTGGCTGCATATATAATGTAGGCGCAGTCATCGATAAATATGCCATATTGTGATTTGGGTTCCGCCTCTAAGCGATCTTCATCGATTTTCCAAACGTGAAAACAAATGGCATTTTTCGGTATCTTACGAAATGATGCGTCCACTTTAATATCAGATATAGAATTGGAGTGGGCCTCCTATAATTAAAATTAAGAAAAAGTTTCTTAAGAAATTGATATGAAATTAGTGATAAATGTTTGGTAAGAAAATCTTATAAGTTCAATGCTTAGAATGATTGACTTAGTAAATAGATCAGGAATACTTTTCTCCATCGTATTCTAATAAAGATTTATTTTCTATGAACATTTATGCCAGATGTTAAATTAATTGTTTTTATAGATCGCAAGATGAAAATGCATTCGAACGTCCTAGGTTCGTTTGCGTATATATATATTAGTTTGGGGAAAAAGAAATCCATTATTTTTATATGAACTTCAGGACTTTATTTAACATGCTTCGGACTGTCCGATTTGGGTCAAATATGCACCGTTTTGTTGTATGATTTGTTGCCATTTTAAAGGTAACTTCAAAATGCCTCTCTCATAAAAGTCCTGGTCTCTATTTGCAAAAAACTCTAGTAGTCGATTTTCACAATCCTCCCTAGATTCCAATTTTTTATCATTAAAGAAATTTTGCAATGCAAGAAAAAGATGATAATCGCTTGGTGCCAAGTCCGGACTGTATGGCAGATGCATTAAAACTTCCCAACCAAGCTCCCAAAGTTTCTGGCGAGTCACTGTAGATGTGTGTGGCCTAGCGTTGTCCTGGTGGAACACGACACCTCTCCTGTTGGCCAATTCTAGCCGTTTCTAGTCAATCGCTATCTTCAAACGGTCCAGTTGTTGACAGTAGAGATCAGAATGTAGCGTTTGGCCATATGGAAGCAACTCATAATAAATAATCCCCTTCCAGTCCCACCAAATGCATAGCAAAACCTTCCTGGCCGTTAGTCCTGGTTTGACCACCGTTTGAGGTGCTTCACCGCTGTTTGACCACGATCGTTTTGTTATCGTATGTGATCCATTTCTCATCTCCAGTCATCATCCGTTTAAGAAGTGGGTCTATCTCATTCCGTTTGGCCAAGGTTTCGCAGATGGATCCATCATGTTTTTTTCTGTTAATTGGTGTGGCACCCAAACATCGAGCTTCTTTTTGAATCCAGCTTTGTGTAAATGGTTTAAAACTGTTTTATGGTCGATTTTTAGCTCCTGGGCGATGTTACGACTGCTAACATGCCGGTCAACTTCGATCATTTCTCCGATTTTATCGACATTTTCGACGACCGGCCTACCTATGCGAGGTGCATGTGTAACATCAAAAATTCCTGAACGGAATCTACGAAACCGAAATTGCACATAATTGGCTGTTACAGTATCGGAACCATAAACACCATTCACAATTTTGGCCGCCTGGCTTGCATTTTCGCTTTTGTCAAAGAAAAACTGTAAAATGTACCGATTTTTCTCTTTGTTCACTTCCATTTTTAACACGCTGTAACTCACAACTGAATGCGCCAAACAAAAAACAGCAAAAGAATTTTTTTACTGCGAAATATCACCTTTCCAACGAGCATAAATATGAAATTGTTTGATCGATACTTTACGAGAAATCTATCAGTGCAGCCATCTACCGATAAAATAATGGATTTCTTTTTCCCCAAACTAATACTATAAGTTGTGCTTGTTGTGTATTTTTAAATTTGATCAGTGGTGATCTGTTACACTTAGTGTGCACATAGTGTAAAAAGTGGGATTTAGAATCTTACGTAGAATAGTCGGAGGTCACACGAACATAATTCACTGAAATATATAAGGATATCACAAAATGCACGCAAGTTTCGATTTTGCCGCTAACTGTGCCGTAGAACAGTTTGAGAGCCGAAAGCCTGGGGTTAGTAAAATCCGAGTCCTACATGAGAGAGCACCGCGTTTTCATTGTTGAACAATATCTCAAATGAAAGTTTGAAGGCCACACTTAACTTGGTCGTGAAGAGAGTAATTGAAAAATTGAGGAAGATTTGATCAGCTGGTGATGCCAAATACACTGGCCGTCTGACACTAGTCCGTTCAAATGATAATACCGGAGTAGTGCGCGAGTGTTGATGGAAGTCCAGGAACATCAGTTCCACGATGTGACCAACTGCGTTTACTCCGTTCCCATGCTTATTTAGTCCAGTTGACACAACAACTAGAGCCTAATGATTGTGCACAGCGAAGATAGCTCGTTGAGTGGATTATTGAATACTAATAAGTGAATGCTGATTCTTCTTTTCGTCTTCATGGCTTTATTAATCGTCAAAATTAACTCATTTGGAGGTCAGAGAAACTACATTGATTGCATTCACGACGTGGCACTGTTTGGTGCGGATTTTGAGCTGACAGCGTCATTGGATCATAGTTCTTCGAAAATGAAGCTAATCAAGCAATGACTGTTACTGGGGCTTCATATTGTGCTATGATTACCCAATTCTTTCTGCCTAAATTGGATGATGTCGATGTGAATGATATGCGATTTCAACAAGACGGTGCAACCATATGCCATATATGCCGTGAAACAAATCAATTACTACATTATACATTCCCTGGTCGTGTTTTCTCTCGTTTCACTGATCAGAATCGCCAACCGACGTAATGTGATCGAAGAACATTGGATTTCTTTTTATGGGGTTTTTTGAGGTCAAAGGTCAGTGCCACAACCACACGTGTGTTGAAGGAGGGAATTCAACGCTGCATTAGCGAAATTCAGTCACATTTATGGAAAATGCCCTGGAAGGTTTCGATAAGAGAGTGGATACGTGCTAGCAAATACATGGACGCTCTTTGCCCGATATGCTATTCCATGTATAACCTTGTCCTAAACACATTACGCTTCAATAAAGGAATTGCGATACTTTTTAATTGAAACCTTGCGTACATTTTGGGACACACTTAATAAAAAAGTTATTTTCATATTTTATGTGTAGCATGTCAAAGCTGGGCTTTCAATTTCATTGTGCAAAGCGGAGAGTGTGTGGTAATTTTAAAAATATATAAAGATTTTATTGCTGAAGTCATCATATATTAGACTTAGAATGAGAAACATCTATCATCATCATCATCTTGGCTGTCAAGAGCATTTAAATCATTTACCGCGCTTTAGGTTTGTTCATATAAAACTATTAATGTTGCATAGCGTTTGTCAGTGTTATTATCGTTATAATCAATCGTAAAGTAAGTTCAAAATTCTAAGTGTCGTGAGCGATATTAAATGCATTTATACGACTAAATACGTGAAGCGTATCATTATCATTGTTGTCATTTAACGGATGTACGTGTTTTTCATCACGTCATGATGATAACGTATGGATTTCTTCACTGCTCATGAAGACTTTTACGGTTAAATACTAATTGAAATAAAAATCTTGCTACAAAACCATAATGTTTTTGATAGGGAAACAATTTTTAATTTGTTCCAGTGATAAAAGTTAAGGAAACGAATTGTGTTACAAATTTTTATTAATTGAAATGCGTAACTTTGATGTGAGATACTCGAATAATGCAGTTTGTTCTACTATGTCGTTCTTCTTTCTATAAATTCGACATATTTCCTGAATCTATCAGACATCATTTGATTGTGAATTGAATTTACACAGATTTTATCAACTACTTTCTCAAGAATAGCTTCTAATACCAATCAAGATGTCAAGAAAGGACAACGACTAACTGCTTTGCTCTGCTTGGCTTTTAAACGATACGAAAATGGAAAGTTTAAAAGTGAAAGGTTCCTTAGCATTCTGCCTACTGTTTCAATTAAGTACACCGTTTTCTTTTTTACACGGTCTTTTTTTACACGATTTTGAAATAACACGGTTCATCAATGAGAACAAATCAACTTTTATTACACGAATTTTTTATTCTAGGATTAATCCAAAAAAAATATATTTTTTTAAATTCGAATTTTAATAGTGTCCTAAAAAAACTTATGCATACAGCAACAACAAAATTGAGAATATGTGAAAATGTGTCGGCTTGTGTCCGCACATGTGTTAGGGACTTGCTCTACTGCTATTTGGCCGATAATAGCGAACGATATTTGTCACTTGAATCAAACCCGACAGTTATGCTAGGCATACTCGATATACCTACTGATGATAGCATTTTTTATTCAGTTCGTAAGTGCTGTCATTGAGCAGCGACGAGTAAGTGCGAAAATTGTTTTTATTCCTAATTAAAATTTAAATGTTTGCATGTTGCTTGTACGCACGATTCACTGTACACTAATTGTAACTGGTTCTTGGTACTAAAGATGAGTGATTTCTGTTCTATAAATATATAATATACTTTTTTGCACGGTTTTTGGAAGAAATACATTGATTTTTTTATTTTACACGATTTTCTAAAGTTGTCAAACAAATCGCCAAATTTACAATACGCCGCATGTATTTTTTACACGACTTTTTTTGCACGGATTTTTATGGAGCGCATCTACGCTGTAAAAAAAGAGTTAGATAAACTATCGACGGACGGAATTGACGAAATGTATGTCACATATGCAATCTCCTAACGTGACTTCGATTAATGTCTTTAAGCGAACTTTAAGCTAAATTTAAGAAATAAGAAATATTGCTGATAAGTAGCAGAATAACTGCATAGCTGAACGAAGTGAACAAAACAAAGTTGATACAAAAATTTTTTATTTAAATGAAAACGAACAAAAGCGAAATGGAAAAAGTTGATGGATGGCGGATCTGCCAAGCTTAGTAGTTTTGCTTGCAGTTAAACTTAACCGAACTAGTTTTCTGAGTGTGCTATTGCAGATTATGCAGAGCTGCTCCGATTACTAATACAATAAATTAGGATTTCGTTTGTCAATGTCTATTGCGTTTTGATTTTATTAGACTGTTAAACTGCTGTAAAGGTTTGTTTACAAACAAGATGCTAAAGTAATTGTCCTTTACTCTACCAAAAATACGTTAATAATGATGACGTTGAAGATAATTGTTTAAGGAACATAACTGATATGCGTACGATCGTAGCCGATAAATTGGTAAAATTACAAACTTATTTCCCTTGTGGAAATAGTTTTGCCAAGTCTACCTGTAACGCAGATATGAGGTATCAAAGCGATCTTGCATTGTTTCCATCACTTCTATCGCACTCTGTCTTTTAGGCAGTGAAATTTACATGATTACAATATCTGACTAACGACTTACTTGGTATGTGATGTATCTGAGCATGCGTGTAGATATTGAAATCTTCAACTTATTACATACATAGCGCACATAGCTATGAAATTTTCAATAAACCAGCGTGGGGAAGACATAATCATAATAATTACTAATAAAAACAGAAACATGTGCAAAAGAAAAGATGAGTCCACTTTCCATAGATGGATAGTTAAAGTTAACGTAAAACGTTTATCGTAAACGAAGTAATAAAGATTTTTTAGCGAGAGAGAGGATATATAGCGACATCTTATACCATTTTCTACAAGCGAATGATATAAGAAATACTACCCAACAATATAAAGAACAATTAAAAAAGATGTAATCACCTAAGAGGAATCTTAAATATCCTTCACTTAAAGCAAATGTATAAACGTTAACGAGTTAACTTTTGATTTAAAAATTTAGACTAACATGAACACGATAACTATATGCACGATAAAGTAATTATCGACTTATTTTATAGTTTTTAAACAGTTGATGAAAATAATAGGAAAATTTCTATTTCTCAAAATTACAAAGGCAGCGGCGCAATAGATTGGTAAGTGCAACATTTATTCGCCGGGGTGCCAATCTTAATAAGCGCAATAAAAGTTAAGAGAGAATTGTTTTGAGTTTAAAAGAATACGCAACGGAAAGCCTATTTGCCAATGGAAATTATTTAGACAGGTTTGCTTGGGCAGATTAAAATGATCATCTATAGCAGTTATAATTTACCAATCTTTATATTTCCTATTGGTTTTATGTTCTTCTTATTAGATTTTCAAATGCTCCCAAATTAGAGTTTGTATAACTTCTTCCTTAAGCCTTAAACTTAAAACAAGAAGCAAGTAAAAACCGTACAGTATCGTAAATCGCTTCGGTTTATACCGAGGGGAGAAGAGAAAGGTCGAAAAAGTGGTCCGATCTAAATCATTTTTTATAGCGTCCGTCATCAAAAAATCTCAGAAAGTTCAACCTGTAGATGAAACTTAAGAGACAGACAAACTTAGTGGTATCATAAAATGGGAGTCTAATTGAATTTTTTCTGAGTATTGCCCACATCCGCACAAGCTATTATATACCCCAACCACAAGTGGTGTAGGGTATAACAAAAAAGAGATGCTATACATACGTATATAATATATCTTGTACATCAGAGCAAATAACAAAAGTTACCGTAAAATTCAATAAAATATTCAATTAACGTTGCAGCGTAGGTTGTTGTACGACTAACTACTCTATGCCTCTTTAAGTTGAGTAATCAAAAGAAGCTAAAAACAAGATAGAAAGTTATATTTACTTTTCCGCACATCTTTAGTACATACCAAGTAGAACCAATATATTGTAAATGGGCAATATATTATTATAAAGGTGGGAGAGCAAGTTGTTCGATTCGGATTGAAGTAAGCAGGCACAAGAAATATATGAACCGGCTTTTAGATAAGCATTTGATGGCGGAACATTTTTTCATTGCATTTTCATTAGCTTCACAAACGCATGTATCGCATTTCAAAGTAATTTTGGTTTGGGTTCCATCTTATTTTCAAATCTGACCTGTGAACAACAAGGAAGAAAGCATATGCTAACTTTTTGCTTTCTAGTTCAATATTTGAAATGATGAGCATTTTAACAAATAATGCCGGGCCGAAGAATGAATGATCACTATAAACTGATTAAATCGACAGCGAACTTTGCGTTCGCCACATCATTTAAGGCCATAATTAGATTACATTTTACGTAGAGATTGCATGTATTTCTGGCTGCCACGAATCCAGTGTATGCCTATTTTTTGATCGCGGTTTTACGAATGTCTCAACATGATCTCAAAGAGAAGCAAGGCTGAGACGAAGAAAATTCGCCATTATTTTTATAAGATTCGCAAAATATCTTACGAATACTGCAAAACGAACAGGACGAAGGAGAAGGACGAATCTACTGTAAACCTATCTTTTTAATCGCGGCTATAAAAATGTCTCAACATAACCTCAAAGAAAACGAGACGAAGAAAATTCTCTATTACTTTTGAAAGATTCATAAAGAATCTTGCGAATATTAAGAAAGGAACATTTACGCTTATCATGAAGGTAAGGACGAATTTATTGTAAACCTACATTTTGATCGAGGCTATAAAGCCTCAAAAGAAAGCAAGTTTGAGACGAAGAAAATTCTCTATTATTCTTCTTGAGTTCACAATATGTCATGTGAATATTACAAATGGAATATTTCTGACTATCACGAAGGGAATGAATCTAGTGTGTAACTATATTTTGATTGCGGCTACAAAAATGCCTCAATATAAACTCAAAGCCTCAAGCGAGGCTATGGTAGAAGAAAAAATTTTCAAAATATTATTTTTCTAAGGTTCACAAAGTGTTTTGCGAATATTACGTAAGCGATAAGAAACTGTTTATGAATATATATTTCCGTAGCGTATAAAAATTACAAAACTTTACACACTTTTCCTATTCACACTTAAAGCAAATGAGGAAATAAGTTGGAGAAGGGAAAACGAATTTAGAGTAAATGAAGTTGAACGACGAAAACCTGTTCTATATTTACACGTGCGCTAAACTAGTTATTAGGACGGTAACAGGTCGAGAAGCAAAGACAGCACCAAGAATAACTAAACAACTGGATTGAAAAATGTGTTACTAAACCATTTCAAATGTAATTACGTTTAAAGTGCTCTCCATTCGATGGAAATTGATGACTTGACGATGACGATTGGCATTGAAAGTCAAGTTTTAAAAGTTTTCAAAAAAAAAAAAAAAAAAAAAATGCACAGTAATGTAAAAGTTGTCGCCTAATCTTTTTTGGCTTGTCGTTGTTTTTATATTGTTTTTGTATTTTTCCGAACGGTTATAACACTTTCCCAAAGTGTTTTTTTTTTTTCTCCAATTCTTCTTCTTTCTTCTTTCTTTTTTTTTTATTATTATTATTACATTTCTTGTAATGTACGACGACATTTCTTAATAATTACCATTTCTTTGGTGGTGATCTCCATTGTGCGCTTTTTATAGATTCGAGGAAAATCCTGCGAACAATTTCGGTTAATTTGTAATAGGTTTGTTGCTGCTATTGCTGTTGCTGTTATTATTACAATTTCAAGCTTGCAATCGATAGGAATACTTTAAAATGAAGACATTTGTCATTCGTTTCGCGACTTTAACTAATCACTAAGTCAACGTTTATGCCGGCAATTATAATTTTAGAATTTTTCATAAATTTTTTTTTAGTTTTCTAGTTTTTATTTGATTTTAAATTCAATTAAGAAGACACTGAAAATTTTTGAACTGAAATTGTTTTCGAAAAAACCGTTTTTAGAAAATTAATTTTTTTTCTTCGTTTTAAGGAAACGTCCTACTAAACTAGAGTAGAAAACGTCAAAAAAGGAAAAACAAAAAAAAAAAAAATAAATAAAGATAAGTATGAGTAAAAGGAAGGCGGGAACAATAAGGAAAGACAATGCCAGGGTTACATTATATTTTCAAATTATTGGGAAGCGGAATTTTTTTTTTTTTTAATTTGGGATATAAAAAAAAAAAGAAAAAAGGAAAGACATTGCAGTCCAGCCGATAATTTTCTTAGCCAAATTGTTTTCTTTACTTCAAAAAACCGTAACGAATAGAGCGCGTTTTCCCCAATCAAAACGTCATTCTTGTTGCAATTCAAAACACCAACTGTTTTCGTTGCGCTGCTGGCTACATGGTTTATTACCATTTTACTATCGCTAATACGGTCGCTCTTGTATCTTGATTCTCCCCTCCCGTCCTTCTCCGTCTGCTTGCACAGAAAGACCAATTTGTTCGGTTTTCAGTTTCTGTTTACTCTCTTCTTAGTTCAGTTTTATGTTATTATCGAACTTGAATGAATTGAATTGAAAAGAAAATTCTCAACAATTCATTTTTTTTCTTTTTTTTTCTTCCTATTATTAACTCTTAGTTTTTCTTATTAATATTTCGCTTTCCATCTTTAAGTTGTAGTGTTGTGCTACTATTATGTTTATTCGGTTCATGTTAATGCCGGTGAAAGGGGAAAGAAAATATTCAGTAATTTTACAACGATGTTAACACCGTTAATGTGTTCATGATTTTATTTGTGTACATATCAACGACAATGCGGCATATATATATATATGTATATATATATATGTATATATATACTAATTTTATCGTTCCATTCGTAACTATGCATCAGAGAGTACATATATACAGTTTTAATCGTCGTGGGATTTTAAATTAAATTATCCATACGTCCATATGTTGTTCAACGCAAAAAAAAACAATGATGAGCATTGCATTTGTTTAGATAGAGATCTACGCTCATAGGCAAGATCAAATCATAAAAGCAGCGATTTGACTTATCCGCAAAGAAAAGCAATAAAGAAATCTTTGGAAAGTGGAAATTTTAAAGTATTTCCTTCACTAGGAATCCATTAACTGTAGGAGACCTCGTTCCAAAATGGGTTTTCTACTAAAAGTAAGAGAGAGTTCTTAAAGCTCTGCTTAAGAGCTTCTCGTTTCGATTCTAGTTGCAAAACTGTTTAATATCGCACTTCAATGCTAAGGATCAATTTAATATAGTGAAGGACACATTTATCTTATCAGTACAATGACAATTTTACGTAGGTTTCACACTTTAGATTTTTACAGATCTTCAAATTCGTTGACTAACGCATTTCAATTTAACAAAACACTTAGTAGACTTTACATATTTTCTTAAGGTGCACGAAGCTAGAAATGTTCCTTCGGAATGATCTCGCCATTTGCCATCAATGCTAAGAAGGTGTTGTTGTCGTATTTGCAAAAGAGCTAACGAGAGCTAACAACGTCTAGGATTTTTTAGGTGTTTGTTGTCATTATATAATTTAAGTAGCGAGACAATGTTTTTAAAACGATCTTACATGGACATTAATGTCGTTCTAACGAAATTTTAATGAAAAATTTGCTTAATTTCCCAACGTTACTGAAAGCTATTACCTACCACTTGATAATTGTATGGTAAATTTTGATAGGAGCAGTGAGGAATCAATTGCGGCATAATACTATCCCTGACCACTCTATTAATCACTTAACTGTGTCGATTCCTTTGGATTCCATCGCAAAACTTGAGCAATGACGAGTATACTCGTCATACACTGAGTAGGCGTGATATAAAATTACAACTACTTGACAACATGACTAGGATCCTCGGACAGGTCATGACGTATATCGTCGTCATAAAACAAAATCTTATGTTTATTTCATAACATCCATGTTCGTGATGCACGATTAACAGGTTAAGAGAGAAATGCAAGAAGATTCGATAAAATCCAGAGCAGCTTTCAAAATTCATATCTAATTTGAAAGCTTACAAGAGTCATTCAAAGAAGGTCGCTGCTCAGATTTAATAAAAAGATCTTTGGAAAAATAAGTGGAAGATTTGTCGTACGCCGAATATATCTTTAGTTTCCATTTCACCGCAAATTGATGATAAATTGATCGTTGCTGTAGCCCTTCTCTGCTTATGACACGCTAAGGCAGTCTTAGTTCGAATGTTTTCGAACTATTTACGTTATGCACGTTACCTTAATTTTTTCGAACTTTTTCGAATCGTAAGCGTTATGTTTCTATGACAATTTAAGGTGCGCAGGTTGGTTACCAACTATATTTTCTATTTTTTTTATGCCTTAGTAGTAGTAAATAGGTTGAGCACATAGTCTTTTCAAAATTTATAAAGAAATCGTTGAGCGCTTAGAAGAATAATCGAATTTAACGATATTAGTAAAGATTATTAAAAGCCGGCTATTTTGAACATTTGCCGTAGATTTGATTTTCTCTCTCTCTCTCTCTCTCTCTCTCTCTCTCTCTCTCTCTTTCTCTCTCACCGTCCCACCCACATACAGTTTAGCCAATATGAAAGGATTGGAAATTACAAAATATGAATAATTTCATGAGGATCTCCCAAAAATTTCCCACTCAGGCATAAAATTACAAATTATTAACAATTACAACTGATTACGAAGTTAAAAAGTGTTAAACGCATACATGAACTCCTTTTGCTATAACTTCTATGCATATGTGTACAATGTTGGGTATATATATTTAACGATGGAATAAACGAAAAAAAAAATTGACATTTAACACGCAAAAATGTTGTTGTTTTTTAAAGTTTTTCTTTTCTTTTTGCTTTCAAAGTGAAAGATTATAATGACGCATTACGTTCACGCCAAGCGATGTGCTGGTGAATGCAATGCTTTCGTCAATTGTTGCATTTGAATAAAAGTCTCGCCAATTGTGAGATTTTGCTGCCAATGCCGGGTCTCTTAGTTTTCTATATTTTTTCTTGATTTAACATTTTGGCTTGCATCAAACGATTGTGACAACAACAAGAAACATTACGCTAAACAATAACATCACTAAAGAAATTATATTCAGTTCGTCAAGTGCTTGTGCATCGCAAGTGACTTTTTTATGGCTGTGTGCAGTGTGTGTAGATGAAATAAATGATCAAACTTTGATAGTCTGAAAAGATAACAAAAGCATAGCATAGAGCTTTTGCCAAAGTTAAATGCAAATCTTTTGTTGTTACACATGACATCCTAACATGAGCATATGATAAAGTTTGTCACTACTTTTGTTTTGCTTGAAGGTATTGCTCGGAGAAAGCTTACTCAAGGCTTTTAAAGGAGATCTTTAATTTTTAGTAATTCAAACAAAAAGTAATAGCGGGTCTAGGCATGTCAGAATAAATTTTCATTTAGTCATTACGCAAATGTGCAAATGTGTCCGCAATATTGCATGGAACCCAAGAGTTAGGGGATATTACAGGACGAAGCAACATGGTTAAGAAGCATGACTACTGAGGAATGAATGGTCAGAGCAGTTGCCAATGAATGACCTGCGTCTGTAGCTGTGGTGAGTACTCGGTCAATTACGGCATAATGCGCATCGGTCGAGATCACACAATCCATCGGCTGCGGCTACTTACTAACTTCTTAACGCCACTTCTCTCCGACTATCACTAAGTCACATGTATAGGGGACATCACCCGAATGATTGATCAAACAAGTCCTTGGAATGCATTTTGATCGCTTTGGTCGTTTTTTGTTTTCTCGAATTATCAATGGGGCTGAATAGGATGCCCTATTTGTGCGGTGACTGTCAGAGAAAAGACAGAACAGAGAAAGAAATAGGGAGGTATTGGCCGGAGTCTAGCGGGTGTGTATCCAATCGATAAGCGTATGCCTACAAGAGCGGGGAGGAGTGCATTGAGCACTCATTATAACTCCGGCCAAGGGACTACAGTTGAGATTTAAGCCCGCGAACACTAACATGGCAGTAGCTCGAATGTTTAACGAGTTCCTTTCAAAGAGTCCTTTTGGAGCGACTGTTCAACAAATGTTGAATATGTCTTGAAGAGCGAAACGTCAATTACAAGAAGTATTGTACTAATCTTAAGCTTGTTTGGAGTGGAAGAACGGTCGATCAAAAAGCCCGCTTGGCTCTTTGGAATTAGAAAAATATATCATGCGTTAAGTATTCAAAATTCGTTCCACGACAAACTATACATTTTTTTCTTTTTATTTATTAGCGAACGTGACATATGTATTACAGTAAATTAAGCAATAGAAAAAATTTACGCACACACTCTCACTTGGGACGGGATATATGCTGCTCTTTGCTGTTGGTATTATTAAGCCAGCTATACATATACCATACGTCAGACTTTGGTGAAAGATAATCTACGAGTGCATGTGAGTGTATGTATTATACATATATATATATATATATATATACATAAATACATACATACATGCACAAGAGTACGCACGCCTAAGTATTTAGTTTTTAATATGTGTCTGTTGCGGTGGCATAAATGGAGCAATTACTGTTTGTATGTTAAGAAAAACTAAAAGCAATAGAAAGAATAGCAACAACAAAGTATATAAACCTCAATCTATTTTATTTCAATTATGGTTAAGTAGTTAAATGCTTTCTTTTTAGCTTATTACACTATTCATTTCTCTTTACCTACTCTTTACCTCCGCCTATATATTACTTTTGTACAAATATGTATTATACATATATATGCCGACTTGGTCTACTTCATAGAGGATTTAATATTCTTGAATTTACATTTTTCATATCATTTCATTTCATCATAATTATTAATCTGCAAAATTTACATAATCTTTTTAACCATAAATAACAAAGTTTAATGCGAACATAAATTTTCAGTAAAAGGCCAAAAGCCTCA